CCCCCAGGGTCTTATCCACAGCCCGTGTAGGCTTTGGTGTGCGACTCAGGAGAGTACATAAGGTACCAACCCACTTAACTGTTTAAAAGGGCTATGTGATTGGGTATTATTGTCCTGACAGGAGTCCAGAACAAAGACTGCATAGTGGAGTGGACCTGGGGGGAGGGACTGTAGAACAATGAAAGATTTTTACTTTTCATAGAGAAGAACAAACTGGGGAGGGGGAGGGGTGGGCAGCGAGAAAAGTGCAACAATGAATGAATGGAAATCCAAAGTCTCTAAATTTTCATTAAAATGAATAGTAATAATAAAATATAATAAAAAAATAAGTTACTAATCAATACTAGAAAAGAAAAAGGAAACCCTGCTTCGATTCATCTGCACCAAGTGATCTAGAGAAGCTGCTGCAAGACTGGATGGAAGGACAGCCGACTACAAAACCAACACCCGAAATGACGACCAACAGGAAGGAACGGTGGGAGAGCTGCAAGCACCCTGACCGCACGGAGGAATGGCAGGGACTGCTGCACATTTCAGACTGTGATTTAGAGTGGATGCTGACATCTATGTAGAAAAAGATGTCACTGCCTAAATGAATAATACAAACTTAAGAAGAAGTCCAGATTAGAAAGACCAATTATAAAATTCTGTTGTGAACAAGTCTATGTTCACATTTTTTCATGAATAATTATCATTATGAGCAGTTTCTGCACTAATGTTCAATTTATAAAAAAGAGAAAATTACTTTCAACTGAAATGAAATAAAACTTCAGTTTCTAGTGATGTGAACATTTTTGCAATTAAGTATTAATAATGACAAAGACAGGAGGACTAAAAATCTATTTTTATCTATATACATGAAAACAATAAAAACTCACCTGGCAAAAAAAATTACTTAAGCATTTGAGCAATTAAATACAATGTCTACAAATCAGAAGGGTAAACATTACCCCATTTTCTAAGGACAGATATGATCATCGTAGGAACACTGTGTCTGAGGAAGTCATCAAACACTGCTCTTCCAGAAGGGCCCATCCGTGCTCCTGAGAGGCAACCCTGATGAGCACCTGTCCTTCCCTTTCCAGTGACCAGAAGATCTTTCTATACTCCACTTACTGGTCATGTGAAATTCTTTTGCATCCTCAACAGAAAATA